TTGTGTTGTGCTGTGTTGTGATGTGATGTGTTGTAGTGTGACATGTAGTATGGTGTGATGTGATATGTTGTGGTTTGCTGTAGTGTGATATATTATGGTGTGTTGTGGTGTGCTGTAGTGTGACATGTAGTATGGTGTGGTGTGGTGTGATGTGATGTGCTTTGATATGGAGTGTTGTAGTACTGTATGGTGAGTGTGTTATGTCCCAGTACCGTGGCTTGATCCTGACACAGCTGTGGACTTGCATTTCTACTGCGTGAGAGTAAGGTACGTAGTGGGTGAGGTTGAAAGGCAACAGGAACAGTGTTAGGAGATTGGACACAACACACATATGAAGCCTAGAGGAAAGTCAATCCCAGTTACTAGACAAGGGCACCCCAAAGACCAGCACAACCTTGATTTCATATTTAGATGTGTTGTTGTTGTGTGTTGTTGAGTCAAAAGCAACTCATAGCTGACCCCCCAGCCCATTTTCAGAGGCTGTAAATCACACAGGAGGAACAACTGGTGGATTCAACCATATGCTTATGGAATTTCAGTGCAGCATCTCATCACGTTGAGAGTTATTGTGTTCCATCAGTCAGAACTGACCCATAGCTGACCCTCCAATGAGTTACATGAGTGGCAGGACACAAATAGCGCTCAGTTGGGGCATTTGATCAAATCCCGATTTTACCATTTGTTATTTGGGCAGATGTTGCACAAGACATTATTTCCTTGACTCATTTCTTTATCTCTCAAATGATGGCAAGAAAGGTACTCACAAAGCTGAGACTGGGATCAGAGTAGATTGTGAAAATGAGACTGGTTATAAAATAGGAACTGCTCTTCACTAGCTTTTATTTCAGCACCTAGGGCACTGCGTGGCCCATGGGTAAGCCAACAAGAATACATGAGTCCTGGCTCCAGTGAGCGCCTTTGAGTGGATCTCATTCTTATCCTCTGACATTCGTAACCCAGACTAAACTCTCTATGCAATGGGGACATCTGATAAGAAGGCTGTTATCAGAGAACACACACATACCTAACGCATGGTCAAGAATGAGGCACTGACCAGCATTTCCTGGTTCACTTTAGTGAGAAGGACTAATGTTTAGAAAATGTTCAAGCCTCCTCAAGCACAATGCTGGTGCTGTTTTTGAGCCACCCCTGAGAGATGTAACTGGTAAAGCATCTAAGTTGCCCGAGGCACTGGAACCTTTGCAGAGAGAGAGGATGCACAGAGAGAGAGAGAGAGAGAAAGAGACAGACAGACAGACAGACTCCACAGCAGTCAGCACTGCAGCTGCTCTGGGAAAGGGGCCTGTTTTACTTCCCCACCCAGGAGGCACAGGGTGTGTGCCTGGACCTCATGGAGTCCTACACACCTGAGTAACTACCACAAGCCCTTGGATTCCTGAGGAGAGCCCAGACAGAGCTGAACTAGTGATCTCCCTTTTCTTTCCTCAGCAGTGTGATCGGCAGTGTTGGCGTACCTGAACAAGACGATGGGAGGAAAAGCTGGGACAAAGCAGGCCCAGAAATATCCAACTGCTGTGCAGTCACTTCCAACTCCTGCCAATCTCATGGATATCAAAAGAGAATTATGTCTCGTACGGTTTTCAATGGCTTAAAGAAAAATGTCATCTTTCTTCCAAGATGTCTCTGGGTACAACTCACAGCTGATGCTCTCGCAGGATTTTGAGAGGCTGATAATTGCAAGGAAGAATATTGTCCGTCTTTCTCCTGTGGGACAGCTGGCGAGTTAGAACCATCGGCGAGGCGAGGACCTCGGGCTAGCTGTGCAAAACCAGAACTCCTAACACAACAGGGACTCCCTGATTCCCTTTTATAGAATATTGGACAAATCAAGCAGCCAGACAATAAGCCAAGACTAAAGAGGATGTTATAAGAGTCTGTCCACATCACAAAAGAAGATTTGGATGATACATTGTTCAAGTCAACCGTCCAGAATCTATCTGTGGAGCTCAGGATCACCAGGGAAGTCTTCACATACATTCGTGAAGCATTCCTGCAAACTCTCCCTGACTTTAGGGAGCTCTGATGGTTTAGTCCAGAGGGCGGTGTGCTCCTAACTCAGAGGCCACACCTCTCCGGTGATAGGAATCCACTAGGGGCTCAGGGAGAAAGGCGCCCCATCTCCTTCCATTTAAGAGTCACAGCCTTGGAAACCCATGCAGGGTTAGCGATGAGTCCGTTCTGACTCAACAACAATGAGTTGTTGAGATTGTGGACCTGACCAGAAATAAACCGCTAATAATTTCCAAGGCACAGACATTTTGTAAACTGTATTCTTTGATCATAACTTAATAAAAATAGAATATGACAATCAAAACACTCCAAACCAAACCCCCAGTACCATGGCTATGGTAAATTAGTCAGGATTTCCCTACAGAGTCTCTAGGTCTAATCTTTTCAACAGCATGCCACCTCTTCTTTCCGGGCTGGTGGGGTCAAACCATTAGCCTTTTTGATTAGCAGTCACGTACGTCAACCTTTGTGCCATCAAAGCACTACTAGCAAAATTTAATCATTTGAAAAACCTTTCAGAGAAAGAATGTAAATAAGAAAACAAACCTGATATCAGAGAAAAGTACCTATGTGGTGCAAATGGTTTGTGTTTGTTAACCCAAAGGTTGATGGTTTGAACGTAGCCAGGGGCACCTTCTAAGACAGACCTTGAGATCTGAGTAAAACACTATGGGCTCGGTTCTAGTCTGTTAACTCGTGGGATAAGGATGAATTAGAATTAACTAGAATTGACTCAAGGCTAATTTTCTTTTTATGTAAAAGAACAAACCAAAATGAAAAAGATGCTATTGGAAAAGTAACTTAAAGACGTAAATCCATTCTGAATCTCCCTCTCAGCCAATGAGTCAACATAAACACATAGTTTGACAACCTCTATCAACACCCCCACCTCCCAATTAAGCTTCCAAAGTCATACGTCACAGAGGAGGGGATGGGTCCTCTTTCTTCCTTCAGGTGGCTCACCAGTTCTGAACAAGACTTTTAATAGCAAAACTTATCAGATGCTGATAGCAGAGGATAATCTGTACTTTTAGGTCCTTTATTACTTTAAAAGACACAAAAAATTATTGTGTGCAGGTTTCAGGAAGTAAAATTATAACAAGAAAACTGCTGAGGAGCAAATAGAAGGGAATTAACAAAAAAGAAAACATAATTATACAAGAAAAATACCAAAGGAATGTATTATCTCATATTATTACATTATAAGTTTTATAATTACGTTAAAAAATTTTATTCTCTCAAAATGTAAACTTGGTTAAGGGGGAAAAAACCCACCCATACACCAGAGATTGAAAAATAGATTTAAATATAAATTCAGAAAAGATTAAATCTCAAGCATAGCACTAGAAACTGTGGTGATAAATTTGGAAATATTGAAAAAAAAAACCCAGTTGATTTTTCTGATGAAATATAAATTTCAAGAGTTAATTGGAGATGACATAAGACATCCAACCAATGAATAGCTATTGAAAAAAAATGGAAAAGCTAAAGACATTACATTTGAAAAGGAAGGAAGGAGCTTGGTGGCATAGTGTGTTGGACTGCAAACTGAAAGGTTGAGAGTTCAAATCCACCACTTCCACCACAGGAGAAAGATGGGTGGACTCCTCCCATAAAGATTCACAGTCTTGGAAACTGGATGGGGAGTTGGCATGAATGGTAACCACAGGACAATGAATTTGACTTTCAAAGGGAGTTTTTAGGTGGTACAAATGATTAAGGTTCTCAGCTGTTTGAGTCTACACAGTGGCACCTTGGGAGAAAGGCTTGGCACTCTTATTCTGAAAAGTCAATCACCAAAAGCACTAAGGGAGCACAGTTCTACTCCGAAGACTATGGGGTCACCATAAGTTGAAATCAATCTATGGCAACCAGTTTCCTTTCAATGAACAGATAATCAAGGACCAGCAGTCATTAATCAAACTATTACAAACCAAAGGAATATATGCTTTGGTCAATCAGTTTAGAGGCTTGACTAACTAAAAGAAAGATAAATGTAAGAGAAGAATATTTATAACTCAATTTTACTTATAACGTAAGTGTTAAAAAAGCTAATGAACGTGTCAACAAAATCTACCTACTAGGTTTACAAAGGGTAACAGTTCTCGAAAGTCTGTTACTAAACTCAAGAGAAGGCCATGTGTTACTCTCACTGTTCTTACTCAATAGCTATGGTGGCTTAGTGGTAAGGCATTGTGCTGTCAACTCAAAAGCATATGGTTTGGGGAGCTCTGGTGGCCTAATGGCAAGGAGCTGCAACTACAATCCCAGAGGCGCACAGTTCGAATCCACCAGATGCTCTGCGGGGTAAGGAGGGACAATCTCCTCCTGTACCAGTCAGATCTGATTTGACGGTACACTCACACAAAAATAATTTAAAAAGAAAAGAAAAGAAAAAAGCATATGGTTCAAATCCACCAGTTGGTCCTGGGAGAAAAGTGGAGAATCTCTTGGGTGATTTACAGCCTCTGGCAACCTGCTGAAGGGTTTGCTATAAGTTAGTTCTGATTTATGGTATATAACATCAACATATACTCTTTTTCTGTTGTTGTTTCTTCTTTTTTTTGTCTAATGACATATAGTCTTATTTAAAATTAGGAGTTATAAATTTTTTCAAAGAGGTAAAACAAGTTCTGCAAATATTCAAAAGAAAGACAAACTTATCTTTATTTACAGACATTACAAGTTAATTAAAACCATTCAAAGACTGTTAAAAAACTTGAACTAAGAAAAGAACTTGTTGACTAGTTACAGATTAATATATCACAAATAGTAGCTTTTCTCTGTTCCATCAACATCTAGTTTAAATGAGAGGGTTAAAAAAAATCTCATTTACAGTAGCTACAAAATTGTAAAGTACTTGGAAATAAATTTACCAAGATGGGTACACTACCAATAAGAAAACATAACTGTAACATTTTATTGAATGGCATAAAACTGGTTTGGAATTAATGGAAAGATATACCATGTTTCTGGAAAGAGATAATTAGATTAATAAAAATGTAATTTTTTCCAAATGAATATATACATTTAATCCTACTTCCCTCCACATCACAGTGGATTTTATTTTTTTAATTAGACACAATGATATTAAAATTCATGGAAGATTAAATACAAGAATTACCAAGTTTTGTGTTCTGGTTTTTTGGTTTTTTTTAGTGGAGAGGAAGAATAATTCTATCAGATGTTGCAATTTACCAAAATTTTGTCACCAATATAGCATGATATATAGTCCAAGCATAGATATTGAAACAAATGCTTAATGTTGATTATGGAGTTCTTGATAAACTGCTCTTTTCTTTTTCTCTTTGTTCCTGCCTTTTCTCTGAATGTCAATGAGAGCATTTTAGCTATCACTTTTCACGTGTGTTGTCAGATGATAAGCTCATTCAAATCCTTTCTGGAGGTAAGCATAGTAATCAACCCCCGGGTGTCAATTCCATCTCAGACTGCCAGACCCTGGGAATATGTTACTCATAGGCCTCCCTTAGGCTCCTGGAGAATCCAAAATAAGGAGTATTCAACCATGCACATACCCGGAAGTGGAAGATCCCTGCGTACTGGTGGGAAAAGCTCTGGTCCACTGGCAGGATCTTCTTCAAACACTGTGGGTTCTGTGTCAGGGAACCGAGTGCTGCTAGGAACCAGCAGTCTCCTGTGACAGGACAAACCGTCAGAGGTTGACAATCTTGCAAGTCTCATCACAAACAGTCACAAGTCTTTACCCCAGAGCCTACGTGCTCCTTCTGAATAATTTTTTCCCTTCCCTTCTATTGTCTTAGAGAGGAGAATTGGAGGAAGAATACCAAGACCAGTTCCAAGCCCTCATACTGAAAAAGGGTGATTCCTTATCCTGCTCTCAGATGCATAGCAAGTGATTAAAAAGACCCTGGCCTAAATCAGGCACACCTTAGTCTTCAAACTAACATCATTGCCCTCAATACTTTGAAGAAGTCTCTGATGGCAGACTTGTCCAATGCAATATGTGCTGGTACCAAAAGTGTTGATTGTGGATCCAAATAAGGTGAGCTTGTTGAGGATTTCAATTTTCTCTCCATCTATCATAATGTTGCTTATTGGTCTAGTGGTGGGGATTCTTGTTTTCTTGATGTTGATGAAAACATCCATATTGAAGACTGTAGTCTTTCATCTTCTGCAGCAAGTGTTTCAAGTACTCTTCACTTTTAGCAAATAAAGTCGCATAACTCAGTCTTCCTTTGATCCTGATGCCACATTCTTCTTCATAAAATCCAGCCTCTCAAATGATTTTCTCAGTGTCAGATTGAATAGTTATTGAGGAAAGATACAACCCTGACACACACTTCCTAGTTTTAAACCCTTTAGTATTGCCCTGCTCTGATCAGTTTGAACAGCTCCTTTCTTCAGGAAATGTTTTGTATAAGCATAATCAAGTGTTCAACAAACAGATGCAGCCCTGAACATGCTTACTAGGTTGTGCCAGGAGATCTGGAGGACAACCACCTACCTGGCCAAGTGACTTGAACTAATCCATATTTATCTCCATTCTAAAAAAAGGTGATCCAACAGTGTGGAAATTATCAAACAATATCACTAACATAAAAAGCAAGTAAAATCCTACTGAAGATTATAAAAAAAAATGATTGGAACAGTAGTACATCCACAAAGAACTTCCAGGTGTGCAAGTAGGATTTAGAAGAGGCCATGACCCTTGGGACATTCTAGCCAATGTCATATGGATCTTAGCTGAAAGCAGAGAGCACCTTAAGAATATCTATGTTTCAGTGACTATGCAAAGGCATTTGACTGTGTGGATCACAACAAATTGTGGCTAACTCTTAGACGAGTGGAAATTCCAGACACTTGATTGTGTTTACACAAAATCTAAACTTTGACCAGGAAGCAATCATCAGAACAGAGCAAGGAAACACTGTATGGTTTAAAATCAGAAAAAGTATACATCAGAGATGTATCCTAACTTCATAATTTTGCAATCTATATGAGGAAAAGATCACTTTGGAGTCTGGACTTAATGAGGTGGAATGTGGCATCAGGATTGGAGAAAGACTCATCAACAACCTGCATTATGTAGATGACATAACCATGCTTCCTGAAACTGAGGAGGACCTAAAGTGATTGCTGCAGAAGGTCAAAGACTGCAGACTTCAATATGCATTGAAGCTCAACATCAAGAAAACAAAGGTTCTCACCACTGGGCAAATTGACAGCATCATGACAGATGGAGAAGAGATTGAGATTGTTAACAATTTCAGTTTGTTTGGCTCTGTAATCAACACTCTTGGTACCAGCAGCCAGGAAATTAAACAATAAATTGCATTGGGAAAATCTGCTGTCAGAGATCTCTCAAGAGTTTTGAGGAGCAATGATGTCTGTCTAGAGACTAAGGTACACCTGATCCAAGCCATGTCTTTGCAATTACTTGCTATACATCAGAGAGATGGACAAAGAATAAGCATGACAGAAGGAGAATTAATGACTTTGAGCTGGAGAAGAGTACTGAACAGCCTTTGGACTGCCAAGAGAACAAACTGATCTGTCTTGGAGAGGGTGAAACCTGGGTGATTTTTGGAAGCAAGATTTTTGAAGCTCTATCTCACATACTTTGGGCATGTAGCCAGGAGGGATCAGTCCTTGGAAAAGGACATCATTCTTGGAAAGGTGGAGGAACATTGCATGAGAGGAAGGCCCCAGATGAGATGGATTGACACAGTAACTGGAGTAAAGGGGGTAAGTGTGTCAGTGATACTGGCTCAGGGTAGAGTTCAGAGTTAAAGTACATACAATCGCTAAGACTCCCAAGTGACCTGATAGTACATAACAACAACAACAACAATCAAGCATTCTGGGATTCTCATTTGTCTCAATGTTAGACATAGTTTCTTATGATCTACATATTAAAATGCTTTTGCATTATTGATAAAACACAAATAGATATTCTTCTATTACACTGTGCTTTCAGCTAGGATACCTTACACCAGAAATTATATCCTTGGTGCATCAGCTTCTTCTAAACCCATTTGGGGCTTCTAGCAGTTTCTCATCAACATACTGTTCTAGCCCTTTTTCTTTTAACATATATAATCTTTAGCTATATTTTGCCTGAATGTGATAGTATTATTGTCCTATAATTTCCACATTCTGTTGGCTTGTCCATCTTGGGAATGGGAACAAATGGGGATCTCTTCCAGGAAGTGAACCAAGCTAAAGACTTCCCTTGGGGAACTAGAAAGTCAATTTTCCCTCTGACTCAGTTGTTCAGAGATAAATTGAGAAGTAATTTTGCTGCTGGTATTGGCAGCAATGGGCTTCTTTTGAGTGGCAGAAGAAAGATTGGTTTTTTTCTCTGCTCATATTTGTTTAGGCCTTCTCGAGACCAGGACATCACATAGAAATACTCTCCTGTTGCCTCTTACTACCTCTCTGTATGCCTCTGAAGGGCCCTTTTGTGTAATGCTCATTCCCATCCTTTAAGTCTTTCCTCCTACAATACCAAAATCATGCCAGGTAAGGTTTTGTCATCTTGATCCAAGATATAGCAGGCTCAGCAGGTGACATCATCCAAGCCCAAGTTTAATTATAAGCTGACATTTGAAGACTTAGTCTGTTTCTGTTTACGATTTGCTTCTGCTGCGTCTTCACCCATTCCCCTTTCCCCCAGTTCCAGCCCCTCCAATCTTGGTTGTCCTCAACTCAGATGTTCTCTTGGCTCTTCACCAAGAAGACAGACCTTTCTCATTCCCTGTCTACATCCCTTGACGTTGTAACATCTACTCCTCTGTGTGGATGCTGGTGGGGAGGGGTGGAGTGGATGGGAGTCCAACAGCCCTGGTTTCAAATCCAGGCCTGTCACTTATTGATTATGCAACAATAAACATACTGTTTTATCTCTTGGACCCTCAGCTTCTATACTTCTAAATTTGAAATAGGAGCCCTAGTGATGTTACGGTGTTTGGCTGCTAACAGAAAGGTTGTCAATATGAATCTGCCCAGTGGATCTGCTGCTTTGCTTCTATTAAAATTACTTCAATAAGGATTGTGGGCAAACTCACCTAACAAGAACGACAACAACATGGAGATATTGTTTCAAGTAGATTGCTGTTGTAATGAGTCAGAACAGAGTCATAGATGCCCCTCTGGCAGATTTTCTGATGCTATACATCTCAGAGGAGAAGATTGTCCATTTATCTCCCACAGAACAGCTGATGGATTTGAACTGCCTGCCACTGGGTGGACCGTGCAACTCCTTCTTCCCACTAAGCCACCAGAACTACTAAGGAATGGATGATTGTGTTGCTCGCTACCCTTGAGTTGGAACCAACTCATTATTGTGCCTCCAGCAGGTTTTCAGTGCCATGGAAGGAGATTGTCCACTTTTCTCATATGAAGCAGCTGGTGGATTCAAGCCACATGCCACACAACGTGGAACACAATTCCTTACCACTAAACAACCGGAGCATGTGCAAACATCTAGCACAGTCTCTGCAAAAACTTAAAAAATTATATGTATATCTGTTTCATAGACTCACTTTACTTTCTATCTTCCAGTAGCTGACGCTTCTCCTACTCAAAGCTCAGATCACACACTCTGTGGCCATTCTCTATCTCTCCTCAATAACTTCTCACCTACTGCTGAGGTGGGGGGACCCCAGGCATGAGTAGCCAGCTTGTATGCTGTAGGCATGTAGGAGTGAGCCACAGTGGCAGGAAGAGGTGGGACTTCAGAAGCTCTGGGAATCTGGGTAAGCACCCTCTCATCTTTCTATCCAGGGGGGTGACTTGGGGTGGCCAGCCCTGACCCATGGCTGGGAGAGATTTCCTGTTCTCACCTGCTTCTCCTTGTTGGATGTCAAATCTGCTTGCGCCTTCCACGATAAAGTAAGGGGGAGCCCTTGATGAGCTCATCTCCTTAGGAAAGAGGAAAAAAGAAAATGATGAGTGAGTGTCTTCTATTCCTTTGAGTCCAGTGTAGGACCTAAGATATCATTCACTTTGTTTTTTGAGTCACAGAGGTTAATCCTTATAACTCAAACTCATTGCTGTGGAGTCAGGCTTGACCCTCTAGTGGGTTTTCAGAGGCGGTAACTCACACGTGGGAGGAGATTGCCCATTTTCTTCCATAGATCAGTTAGTGGATTTGAACCACTTGCCTTTGTGTTGACAGTGCAACTCTTTGTGCTCCAGGCAACCAAAGCTTCCTGCATTAATTCTTAAGTTGTTGTTGTTGTGTACTATAGAGTTGGAACTGACCCATAGCTGACCCTCTGGCCCATTTTCAGAGGCAGTTAATCGCCTGGGAGGAGACTGCCCATCCTTCTCCCACAGAGCAGCTGGTGGCCTCGAACTGTGTGCCTTCCGGATTGCAGTACAGCTTCTTGCCACTAGGCCACCAGAGCTCCCTGTAATTCTTAAGCAGCTGCTTAAAATGTCAGTTAGCAATGTTCCCCTCAGTCTTTAGGTTCAAGCGCTATCAGGAGGTGCCAGGTGTCAAAGAGGCACATTCATAACTGACAAGGCAGGCAATAAACACATGAGCAAATTACACAAAGTGATAAATAAGAACAGCCTGATTGAACAGTCAGGAATTTCAGTTCCAGCAAGCCAGCCTTTTATTAAGAGGTTATAATAAAAAACCGAAAAGAGATATCTTTATTACAGGGAACTTTTTTCAGAATAACAAAGCTTTTCTTCTGAAATGTCATCTCTCATGAGGCAGCTTAGGTGCTCTCGACTCCAGGTTCACCTCCAGACATTGCAGGTATGAGATGGTGATCTTTGCCCTTTCTGCTGGTTACTCTCAGACCAATTATAGAAGATGAAGTCATCACCCTTGCTTTGCATAGAGAAGGCATTGCTATTGGAGTTTGTGGGAGCTCTGGTGGCCTAGTGGCAAGAAGCTGCACTGCAATCCTGAAGGCACTCAGTTCCAGGCCACCAGCTGCTCAGTGGGAGAAGGATGGGCAATCTCCTTTCTTGTGATTAACTGCCTCTGAAAACCTGCCGGAGGGTTTGCTATGTGTCGGTTCTGACTTAACTGTAAACAACAACAACAACAACAACAACAACAGTGGAGTTTGCAGTGCTGTGACATCTAGGGAGGATCTTGGAAACTCTCAGGAGATGTGAGGCTTGTGAGAGATCCTGATTGAGGATCCCAAGACATATGTGTGGTGATTTTGGGAGTCATTAGGTCAAAGATCTGGCTCGTTCCCCATTGCAGTCAGCCTTTTCTGTATTTCCCCTGCCAGCAATCCCAGGACTATCCTCTGGGTCCTTTTGAAATGTCCTCTCTGTGCAACTCTTCCTAGGTTTCTGTAGTAGAAGTTTGCATACTTTTATAATTGTTCCTGTGTCATTTCTTTTCTCACTGACAAGTAAGTCCACAGAAAGCATGGCTGCAAAGTGAAAATGGATCCCTTTTCTCAACAGCCATTAATGCAAAGCATCACATACCTTGTAAAATCTGCCAGCCCTTCATAAATGGCCAAAGTTTCCTGGTGAGAGCCACATATAGAAACAGATAAAGGCATGCATATATGCAAGCATAAAAGTCCAGGGAAGGGCTAATCATATCATTACAGTCCCCTTCACGGCCTTCTCCATGGAGAACTGACCCTGGCCGGTGGTCAGGGTCGGGGGACAGTGCTCTCAGGACAAGCCTAGGACCTCTGGGTGATGGAACATGGGAGGCACCATGCCTGATCTCCTTTTGGGAGTCAAGGTGATGCAGAACCTCGAACTCTCTCAATGGAAACAAACCAGAAGAAAAATGCCCTGAGGAATTCCAGCCATGGTGAGCAGGTCATGGAGGGAGCTGCTCTCCCAGTTTTGAGCCAACTTGGGACACTTTTATCGCCTCTGATGGCTTCTCTCTTTCTGCTCGAAAAAGGAAATGAGAGTCTGAAAGAGAGCCCACTTTGAATAAGCTGTTCCAACTCACCGTGATCAAAGAAGGTGGAGGCCACTGGGCACTTCCGATTGGGAGCAAACACAAGCTGGCTTGTTTCCTGGCCTGAAGGCACAGCTTGCCTTTGTCCTGTCCCTTCATAGGCCACTCTGTAGTCAATGGCAGAGGAGGGGTGGGTGTGCCCGAGAAATCAGTCCAGACAGACCAAGTGTGGAATCTTGCTCTGATTTTTCTCTTTGGGTGACTCTGAGCAAATCCCTTAATTTGGCTGAACCTCAGTTTTCTCATGTGTGAAATGGGGACCATATGGGGCCCACTGAGAAAAATCAGTGATAAAGTCATCAAAACCATTAGCTGCTGTTGGAGGAAACTTCAGGACGGGCTGGGCACTTTGCTCACAGATTATCTCTTGCTGGCCTCCCTACAGCCTTGAGAACCAGGAGGATTCCTTCTTCTTTATAAACGGAGGAGGATGTGCAATACTTAGCACAGCCTCTATTGAATGTGTCTGTTCAATAAATATTGATTTCTTTCTTCGGTAAAATTCTCAAAATGAAACAGGCCAGACTCATAGACGAGCTCAGCTTCAAATTTATTAATTATTGAGTAAAAACATGAATTAACAGTCAACTCATGGATGTTAAAAAGTAAAAAAAGATGCAGGCATACACAAAGCTTAAATCCATGAAACAACACATTGCTGTCACATTGAAACAGACTCATAGCACACCCTCCAGTGAGCTCCCTGAGGCTGTAAATCATGCTGAAGTGGATAGCATATCTTTTCCCCACTGAACTGCTAGTGGATTCGAACCACCAGAGAAGTGCACCTTTGGGTTGGCAGCACTGCTCCCTACAGCCTCTACTACCATAACTCCCTCTCACAGAAATAGGATGGAAATGATAAAGAAAATAATTGTTGTTGTTATGTGCCATCAAGTAGCCTACGACTCATAGTAACCCCCTGCCGAATAGCTTTGAATCCTGCCCTGTCCTGAGCCAAGACATACCCACCCCCGTGACCCCCCAGTCACCATGTCAATCCAGGGTCTTCCTCTCCTGCACTGTCCCTCCTCACTTCCAAGCATGATGTCCTTCTTCAAGGACTGGTCCCTCCTGGCCATGTGCCCAAAGTACGTGAGATGGAGCTTCAAAATCCATTCCTCCAAGGATCAGCTTGGATACACCCCTTCCAGAACAAACCTGTTTGTTCTCCTAGTAGTCCATGGTATGTTCAATGCTCTCCTCTAGCACCACAACTCAAAGGCATCAATTCTTCTTCTTTCATCCTTATTCATTGTCCAGCTCTCTGATGCAGAGTAAGTAATTGTGAAGTCTGTGGCCTAGATCAGACACACCTTAGTCTCTAGACTGATATAGTTGCTCTTTAGCACTCTGAAGAGGTCCCTGACAGCAGATTTCCCAAACACAATTCATTTTTTTTATTTCCTGACTGTTGGTGCCAAGAGTGTTAACTGTGGAACCAATTAGAGAATTCGAAACAAAAGCATATTGTAAAACCCCAGAATTGACAAAACAAGCAAATTATGCTATTTAGTAGGTAGACTCCCAAGGTGTCCCTGCTAGTTTGGTAGGTTAAGTATTGAGTTGTTAACTGAAAGGTCGGTACTTTGAACTCACTAAATGTTCTTCAAGGGAAGTATGAACAGTATGCTCTCACCAAGATTTACAGCTTCAGAAAGTCCTTGTTATGATCTTCATAGATTCTGCTTTATGAAGAGGTTGCTTGGCGGGTTTGATTTTCTCTTAAAAATTTTTTATGGACCAAACTTTGGAAAATAATGGAAACGAAGCACAAAAATGAGGTTTAGCAGTATAGTACATTTCTGTGGTAATCAATTTAAAAATAATGATTTTTTGACAAAAAAATTGTTGTTGCTTGACATTGAGTCAAGTACGACTCTTATGAATAAAAGATCTGAAGCCTTTCTAAAACTATTATTGTTTCTTAAAGTTCATAGAGTTTCCAAAGGAGTGTTGTTTAGGAAGTGTGGTAAAATGTGAATCACAGTGGTAAGTCATATAAAAGACTAACAACTTCTGAATATTATTGTAAATATCTCAAAGCCTTCTAAAGATTTTCTTGCTGAATTCTCAAAAACTCTCAAATAACAGACAATTTTTTCATCATTACAGTTGCAAACAAAACTCAACTGGTTTCTGTCAAGTTGAAATTGACTCCTTCCTAACGTTCTGTGGATTTTCAGAGGCTGTAAATCTCACTGGAGGGGTTTCCCCATCTTTCTCCCATCAGACAGTTCATGGATTTGAACCATCTCTCTTTGGATTGACAGCACAACCCCTTACCCAGTCATTGTTGTTACTAGGTGCTGTTGAATCAAGTATGACTCATAACAATCCTATGAACAAAGATCTGAACCCCGTCCCATTCTTTGCCATCCTCACACTTCCTGACACACAAGAGCCCATTGTGGGCATCACCATGCCAATCCACCTGGTTGAGGGTCTTCCTTTCCTTCATGGACCCTCCACCCTTCCCAACATCACGTCTCCTTTTAAGAAATAGCACCTCCTAGCAACATGTCCAAAGTTTGTGAGGTGAAGCCTCATCATTCTTGCCTCCAAAGAGCAGTTCACTTGTACTGTTTCCTAGACATTTCTATTTGTTCTCTTGGCTGTCCATGGGATGTTCAATATTCTTCTCCAACACCACGGTTCAAAGGTGTCAATTCTTCTTCTGCCATCTTTAGTCATTGTCTAGCTCTCAAATATATAGTAAGTGATTGGAAAAGCCAAGGCCTGAATCAGACACACCTTAGTCCTGAAACTGATATCATTACTCATCATTAATTTGGAAATGTCCCTAACTGCAGATTTTCCCAGTTCAATGCATTTCCTTATTTCCTGACTGCTGGTACTGAGAGTTTTAATTGTGGATCCAAGCAAAATGAAACTGTTGATAGCTTTTCAATCTCTTCTCCATCTATCGTGATACTGTCTATTGGATTGACAGTACAAC